TGTGATAGAAGGCTACCAATCAGTATTCCCGTTGACAGATTTGGAAATCGACATGTTGTTGGTTACAGCGCAGGCKCGTATATGCCAAACATTAGTTTTGGTTTGTCACCAGAACCTGTTCACCAAAACAAGCTACAGAACAGAYGGAGGTTGGAAAGTCTTGGAAAACCATCAGTTGGTTCCGGAGGAGAAGATTTTGAAACAATGGAAAAATGTTGGGAAAAATGAAGTACATTGATTAGCTGTAACAATTCTACGAGGGGAATGGAGACAACAATTACACTATTTTGTTTCCTGTATAAGTCAAATTAAAATGTGGGTCAGGGTGGCTACGGAAATGGACAGGTCAAATAGCCGCTTTTTAAAAAGCTTTCGTTATCGCTATTGCTAATTTTATCATGTGTCTTTCTCATTTCTAATCAATATACAGTCATTGTGTTATAGATAGTTGAATGGCTTTGTCTAAAAAAAAACAACAATAAATACATCAAATAAAATGTGTACTGAAAACATTATACACCTGTTTAGGAAAACATTGAATAATTCATACAGCATTCCAACACTGCAATGCATTGTACTTTTTCAATCCAGAATATGTTGGCAATGCATGCATCAGTACTTTCGGAGAACAATGCGTCCGCCATCTTGAAAAGTGGCACCGTCCCACTTTTCGAATCACTAAATTATAACTCCTAAAGGATTTAAAAACATCTCAGCTAATGTCAAGTCATTATTGTACGATATAATGATAGATTATAGTTGACTTAGCAACTACGAAATGTGTTCTAAGGCACAACATAGTGATTCCGGTCTCACTTTTCAAGATGGCGGACGCATTGTTCTCCGAAAGTACTGATGCATGTATTGAAAAGTTGCAATTCTAAACTATGTTACTTTCCATTGAAGTTCTTGACTGTAAGGAGCTGGTATAATCATTATTTCTACAGCCACAACACTGCTTTTGAAATGCGCTACAGCGATACACAATGCATTTCGGTCCTGGAATACACTATCTTCAATATTCTGAAATGGCTGCATACAATATGTACAAACATACCGAAATACAGTATCTAAACAAGAATTATTGTATAGAAAACAATGCATTTATATAGGCTGGGGTGCAATCAAACGTGTAATAGTGAATTATCTATTTCATGGGTTTAATTGACTTCTATATCTTAGAAATAATTTACAAGCTAAACTATAGGTTAAATTAGTGTTAAAGAATCTTTGTCTTCTATTGTTTGATTAGTGCAGTTTTGTGTTATTTCTTACGAATCGTTTCACGGAAACATGAACGCATTTTGGTACATTCACTACACACACGAAACAAGAGTTGATTTGGCGTTTGGAGAGTGGGATAGTCACAAATATACGAAGTATATGATTAAATTGGAGTGAAGTAAAAAAACTATGAATAACCGTAAAATACTATGTCCAGTCAACCTTGTACGCTCGTTTTTTATTGTCTTCTGTGTATATTTGACTACAGTATTACTTTTTAATCGACAAATTTTGATTCACTCTATAGCACTAAGGTGTCCTTCTAGTATAATATCTGATTCACGGATCTTTTGTATTTCACCGATTTTGTGCTATATAGACCCTATACAGCCTTTTGCAAAAATTATGAGAATTGTCTAAATATCTAAATATCATAATATCCATATACATATATTGTCCGGAACACGCGGCTTTGCTAGAATAATTCATTGTTGACAGCGAGAAAATGTTCAGAACTACGGATAAGTCTGTTGCCAAAAAAAAAAACTAAACACAAAGACAAGGGACTAAGGGCATCGCACGAGATTACCCACCATGCACTCGATATTATGATATTTAGATATTTCAACAATTCTCATAATTTTTGCAAAAGGTTGTATACAGCGATCAATTGCAAAATGATTATACCTTCATAGCATCAATTATAATGCGGAGTGCACGATGGATTAATAGAGTTAAGTCCTAAAGCCGTGAAACAATATTTGTGAATTAGTTTAATATATTTCACGGGTTTTTAAAACTCATTCTAATCTAGTGATTAAATTATTCAAACGTTCTCAAAAGAGAAATGAGGTTATTTTTTATGCTATTGCACACTTGCGATTACTTTTTCTTGATATTTTGATAATTTTTAATTAATCAACGAGCATGATTTTTTGTTGAGGGGACTAACGGGCTCTGAAGGCTGGATCAAGTAAAGGGACCGATGAATTTTGAAATTTTGAAACCGGAAATGCGATTTCCTGCGTTTTGAGACTTCGAGAACATATTTATTGCTGTGAACTTTTGAACATGTTACTTGATTCTGTSAAAAGGTATTRTATTTTCAAAAAWTACTTTGGGTGAARGGCTACAAACCCACTCTCCTTCCCTGCTTCGCGGTGCCTGTTGTATTTTAATGTATTTTGGTTTTACTAATTAAACTGATTCTATTAGCCTTTTATCAGGCCGGTTTTGTGAAGATATTCCTGTTATCTTTGTTTTCTTGTCGTCAATCAGCTTGCCTGATGAAGATCGTGTTCTGTATTCTTTTCGTTTCTACGTTTCTTTAAGGTTTTTGTTTAAGAACATTAAGAACATAATTGTTTTCTATCGTTTTCCTAGTAGGATGATTTATGCCACTGTTGGCAAATATCGTAGGCTCTTTTAAGATGTACATGCGCCTCTTGATGATTTCCAAGCTTTATCAACAACGTAGCAAGGTTGTTTAAGTGCTTTGCCAATATTGGATGATTTCCATTATACAAGAATTCTGAGATCGTTAATGCTTCTTCCAAACATTTCTTTGCTTCATTGCGTTCTCCAAGTTCCTCCAGCAGATTTCCAAGATGGCTCAAATGCTCTGCTAATTTAGGGTGAATCCTGCCGTAGACCTTTCTGTCAATTTGAACAGCTCTTTCGAAGCATTCTTTAGCTTTTTCCCGATTTCCAAGCTTTTTCTTTGCCATTCCTAGGTGAGAAAAATGAATAGCCATCTGTGGGTGGTTTTCGTCATTGTAGGCTTGTTTGAACTTTCTATATGAACACTATTGCTTCATTACATCTATCGAGCTGTTTAAATGCACTCCCCAAGTTACTTAATGTGTTTTGTAAGCCTTAGTAGTTCTTCCCATATATATTTTCATCGATGAAAAGCGCCTTTTCCAAGAACTCTAGGGACTCTTTTTCTCTGCCTAAACTGTAAAGCACGCATGCATAACTGTTAAAAAGAGAGCATTTTGCGGGGTGGTTTCCTTCGTATAGACGTTCATTAATATCAATCGATTCCTTCAAGCACTTTCTAGAATCTTCATATCGTCCAAGATCATTTAGGACATCCCCAAGATAGGCAAGATGTACTGCTAACGTTAGATGATCTCCATCATACACTCGTTCGTCCATTGCAATCGCTTTTTCAAAGTATTGCTTGGCTTGTTCGTATTGTTGTAGATCTCGTAATACCCTACCAAGGTCAGTTAGATGTACTGCTAACGCTGGATGATCTCCGTTATACACTCGTTCGTCAATTGCAATCGCTTTTTCAAAGTATTGCTTGGCTTGTTCGTATTGTTGTAGATCTCGTA